TGTAAACTTAAGTGGATAGGAGAATCCACCAACATTTTTATACATTGATGTTGCCTTTGGGATCTGTGAAAAAGTAGAAGCTGTTTTTAAAAGCATCCTCAAGTTGCTTCTAAAAGCACCCCTTTAAAAGTAGAAGTAGTTTCAACAAGCATATTAAAAAAGTTTTCACCAAACACCATTATTAGGTGCTTCTAGAAAAAAAAACTAAACAAAAGCATCCTAAAAAATAATACCAAACTAGTCCCTAGTCGAGTAGAACTTAAAACTAAAAGCAGGATAATTCATGAGATTAAAAAATAATACCAAACTAGTCCCTAGTCGAGTAGAACTTAAAACTAAAAGCAGGATAATTCATGAGATAAAATTTCATAGAGCTAGTCAATTAGAACTGAGTAGAACTTAAAACTAAAAGCAGGATAATTCATGAGATAAAATTTCATAGAGCTAGTCAATTAGAACTTAAGTGGATAGGAGAATCCACCAACATTTTTATACATTGATGTTGCCTTTGGGATCCGTGAAAAAGTAGAAGCTGTTTTTAAAAGCATCCTCAAGTTGCTTTTAAAAGCACCCCTTTAAAAGTAGAAGCAGTTTCAACAAGCATATTAAAAAAAAATTTACCAAACACCATTATTAGGTGCTTCTAGAGAAAAAAACTAAACAAAAGCATCCTAAAAAAATAATACCAAACTAGTCCCTAGTCGAGTAGAACTTAAAACTAAAAGCAGGATAATTCATGAGATAAAATTTCATAGAGCTAGTCAATTAGAACTAAAACTAGGATAAAATTAAGGGGCTAGTCAAGTAAGAACTCAAAACTAGAACTAAAAAAAATTCAAGTAGAACTCAAAACTAGAACTGGGAAAATGCTAAGAGGGTTAGTCGAGTAGAACTGAAAACTAGAAATATGATAAAATTTTATGGCGTTAGTCAATTAGAATTAGAAATACGATAAAATTATAATGTGTTAGTTAACTAGAACTGGATAAAAAAAATAGAACGAAGATAATTATAAAAAATTATCTCACTTTTGTCATATATTTATATACAAAGAGAGAGTTCTAACCTTCTAAATTATTCGACATTTAGATTAGAACTAGGTGGTAATAAAGTTAAAACTCTCTTATTTGATCCCCCCTCCCCCCCTTCATATCTTGTTTCTCTATCCTCTTCAAACCATGTCATAAGATTATACCACCTCTCTTCTTATACTTCTCTTTGTATGTTATTTTCTTTTTTAATCAAATATTAGGTTTGTATAAATAATTTAAAATTAAAAATCACAAATCCATACTCTAATAAAAATAATGAAATTAAGAGATGAGGAAAAATATTCAGTAGAAGATAAAAGAAGAAAATAGGAAAAACGTATAATAGTCTTATCATCAAAATGCATAACTTATATACTTTTTGATTACCGCAAATTATTCCAAACCATATTGACAATTGTCCTATTAAAATATATTGTTTCAAAAAATTACTCCCAATCATCCCTCTAAAGTATCCCAAATCCTCAAATCTATGCTAAATTGCTAACCTCCAAATCATGATATTTTTAAATCCTCGTTTCGAACAAATATAAATATATGAAGGTCTAATTTTCAAATCTAACATAAAATTAACAAAGATTTAAGGGTTGATGTCAAAAAAAAAACCCTTTCCTATATCCGTAGAAGAGATTGTAGGGTGTTGATGTCAATTATGGAATAAGGGGTTTATTTAGGGATTAGTGTTGTGTTAGGGTCCTCGAGCTTCTTCAGATGTCCAATTTTAGAGCCTGATGTTCTCTCCTGCACATAAAAAGGCTCGTGAGAGGCCGCAGTTAGGTTCTCCGGTTGTTCATTCGACGATCAAGTTAGCATATGAACTTAAGTGGAAAAATAGAAAGTAAGTGAATAAGAGGAGTTCAAAGTTGTATGAAAGCAGAAAAAGTTAACCCATACAGTGCAGCTTCATTTTATAGCAAATCAGAAGAGCAAAAAGATAAATTGGGCCGAGTCCAGATAGGCAACTGAGTCGGCAAATACCTCATAGGTGTCGTCCGCTGAAGACGGTAAGTCATCTAGTCATTCAATGTGGGGAGGACAACAAATGCTTAGAGCTGATTGGGTCCGAAGAATTATAAAGACTATGAAGGCTAGAGCAATGATGACTTTGTCAGAGCAGTTAATGCGAGGGTAGGTGGCTGTCAGCGAGGGGTTCGAGGAAACTACCGCCTCTTCAATCGTTTAGTTGGAGGCTGGCAAACAACACCTTTCTAGTCAGCCACGCAAGTTGTCGGTCTGGAACAACAAGTTGAGTGTGAGTGCTTATAAGGTCGATCTGGTGGGTACGATAAGTACCGCCTTTTTAGTCGGTCATGCAAGTTATCGACCTGATGGGTCGGCTACAGAAGTTGCTCAAATTGTCTGGATTCTGATCATATTTGATTAGACGAGGAACGAGACACGTGTCAGACGAGGAAGATAGTTTTCATATTTGGTGATTTATTGTCATAACATATGGTTTTACCTAGTAGACGAGCTAGGAGGTATTAGCATTGTAACATTTGTCAATTTTTAACATAAATCCTAGTGATTTAGCAAAGCAATGATTAAGAAGGATTGAGAATATAAGAGGAATGAGTACCTTTGGTGTCAATGACTAAAGTTTGGTCCTTGACACTGAGGGTGTCACGTCTCAACAACCCGTTGCTTAGAGATATTTTATCTATTTCATGAAGGTTATGCAAATCATCCTAGAGTTAACGACGGTTTTGTGAAATTTCTATTTTTTGGTTTTTTTTTTCGGTGGGGCGAGGAGGGCTCTGTCTTTATTCTCTAGTCGACCCATTTTCTGTTCAGCCCATAAGATTTTATTCACCCCAGAACCACTTCCAGCGATCCACTCCAGATCGTATAGGCCCTGTTTGGATGGAGGGTAGAGAAGGGGAGGGGAAGAGAAATGAGGCTTTCACCTTGTTTGAGAGTTTTTTTAAGGAGGGTAGAGAGGAGGAAGGAAGGGGAAAGGAGGGTAAAATTGTTTGGTTTTCTTTCCCCCCCGATTTGGGCGATAGAGGAGGGTAAAGGGGTGTAATGACATTCTTATCCCTATCAAAACAAATAAAAGGGCTGATGTGTTATTAGTATAAAGTCATTTATGTAAATTTACATATATTTACTTCCTTTCACCTTCATTCACCTTACTCAACTCCCAAACAACATATTACAATTCTCTTCCCTTCTCTTCCCATCCCTTCCCGTTATTTCTCTTTCCTTCCCTTCCCTTAGGGCCTGTTTGGATTTGTTAGGGGTGAAGGGAAGTTAAGGGAAACTGAGTGAAGGGAAGGGAATGGAAGGGAAGGGAGTTCCCTTCCCCTTGGTTACACCCCAATTTGGGGGGTAACAATTTTTATACTATTAGGGGGTGAACCAAGGGGAACTAGGGTGAATTAACTTCACCTCCTAAGTGTTCCCAAACAAGGTGAATGGAGGTGAATGGTTCCCCTAACTTCCCTTCACCCTCATTCCCCTCAATCCAAACAAGCCCTTAGGGCCTGTTTGGATTCGTAAGGGGTAAAGGGAAGTTAAGGGAAACTGAGTGAAGGGAAGGGAAGGGAAAAGAAGGGAAGGGAAGGGAATTCACTTCCCCTTGGTTACACCCCAATTTGGAGGGTAACAATTTTTATACTATTAGGGGGTGAACCAAGATGAATGGAGGTGAATTAACTTCACCTCCTAAGAATCATTCCCCAAAGTTTTACATTTTTTGGAATTTATTTGATATTTTTAAACAGAGTTTTAAAATCAGCAATATAGTTTTTCATATGTCAGTTTTCGGTCGACCGAACCGGTCGACCGAACCTGAGCTCATAGGCTTACTGGCAAGATGAATGGAGGTGAATGGTTCCCCTAACTTCCCTTCACTCTCATTCCCCTCAATCCAAACAAGCCCTTAGTAAACTCCCAAACACACCAATAGACAACCCGACCCGACCCGACCCATTTGCACCCCACCCGCAGAGACGACCGAAAACAGCCCGACGCTTCGTCCACCTCCGGTGAGAAGAACATTGAGGGTTTCGGATCCGACACCAAAGCGCTCCATCGCGGGCAACAAATATAAATGAAATTTTCTCCATTTAAAATCTTTGTTCATATTATTTCCGGATCTTGCCATCGTTCGTCCCCGTTATCGGGTCAACGGATCTTCGGGTGAGGACCCGGAGCGGATCCGCTCCGATCGGAGACATGATAACGCGGTCGAAGTTGGTGGAGCAGCTGAGGGAGTACCAGATCCGATCTCAGCACAAGTGGCCCATCATCCACAAATTCTCTCCCAAGCCCCAAATTGTAACTAGGTAATAACTTTGACCCGTTCAATTTATTTCAGTTTTTTCTTCTAAATTTGTTATGTTATAATAAGATCTGGCTTTTAATGGGAAAATTGTTAATTCCATAATTTCCTTTGATGGATCGATAATGTGTTGCAAAGTTCCCAACTTGCGATGTCAAAGATCAAATTTGTGCAGAATTAATTGGATCTTTCATGCACATTAGCCAATCATTAGTAGATCTTAGAGGATTAAAGTTTGAAATACCGAGCTAGAAATGGATGTGTCATTTGATAGCAAGGGTTCTGATTCTAGGATGTGAGACGTTCGCGTGTTTGGTTTGGAGTAATGAGACGACAAATGTATTTACAAACATCATGTAGTTTCAACTCCTGTTATTGGAACACTAAAATTGAAGGCTGTGTAATTATATGTGACCAGTTTAACTTGCCATGATGTTGGAGGGGCCTCTCTCTACAAGAGTATGGTGCATTCCGTTTCTAGTTTGGAAATGATTCGCAACACTTCGTACAAAATAATTTTACTGAGGACACGATGAAGGTAAAATTACCTCATTGGAGTTTACATTCACAACATGGGAATCATCTACTATTTTGTACAATGAAATAAGATGTGCCACCTCATTTGAGAGGATCACCAAAACAAGCAAGGGATTGGATCTTTACCTAGTGCTAAAGAAGCTAAGATCAAATTTCGGTGACAGCGGCTGTATGATGGAAAGTTTACTTGATTACCAAAACTTGCTCCATTCTGCCAACTGCTAACAAAAATATAAACATAGAGAGATGGATTTGAGTCCTAAAATTTTCTGAGGTGGGTATGAATTGAACTGGACTAATTATGATCGGGGGCCATCTATTTGATCTGTGATGTGTATTTAAATAGACTGAACTTGGCCCTAATGCCATTCCCTATGCAATATCAGGCTGCAAGAAAAAAAACCCAGAAATTAGGATTGGCATCCTAGTTCCTATACTCAATATCCTCTGTTATAAATTTATTACTGGCACGGCATTAGAATCTTGTTGACCTGATGAACGATTGCGCACATGACTTATAGTAAAGCTTTTCCTTTTAGCTTTATTGTTAGCATACTTTTCTTTGTTTTTTTTTTCTTTTGTACATGGGATGGGTCAAATGTCCGTGTAGAATTTAAAGTGATTTTAGTAAAAATAGATACCATTGTGTCGGTCTAGGTTTTGGCCCATTTAAAGGGCGCTCAACCTTGGGGGTGAGCAAGTCGGTTTTTAACGATATTTTTAGAACCGAACCTAACCGAACCGTAAATAAGCACTGAACCAAACTGAAGTGAACCAAACCGAATTATTTCGGTTTGTTTTAGTTGCTTATTTCTTGCTGCTATGGAAGTAACTGGACCTGTCACCAAGAAGAAACACGTAGCTGCCATGACCGCAACGCATAAAGCTGCTGATATAATCATTGGCACATACAATAATTTAAAAATTAAACAAGAGAAAACATGAGAAGAGCTATGTGAAGATCAGAGAAGAACAACAAATTAAAGTGGATGATCGAGGAGAGAAATTTGGAAAGCTGATTAATTTCTCTCTCTATTTTTCATGCGGCGTTGGTTTCGAGGCAGCTAGTTTTGAATTGAGGAGGTGAAACTAGTCACATGAGTGGGCTTTGCAATGAGTGAGAGAGAGAAATAGGGATGGTAATTACCATTCATTTATACGATCTTGGGAGTGTTCCGTCAGATCATTTAATTCGGATTGAAAAGTTTTCAACCCAATCCGAACCGACTACATTTCAAAACTGCACCGAATTGTCCAAAATCAGGTGGTTCTGTTGCGGTTTAAACTGAAGTTTGCTCAGCCCTACACAACCTGCGGGGCATGTTAGATACAAAATTATAACCTTTACCTCAACTTCAAAGTTTCGGTGTGGTGGAAGGGACATTTCAGAAGATGTTTGAGTTAAGTCTGTTACTTTCCTTTTTTAAGGTCCACCAACCTCTGTTTCATTTCTCTTTCTTAACCATCATCTATCAAATAGACGAACATTCTCCTGTTGGATTGCGATGGCGGTGCAGTCTTCTAAATGCAAGGTGAAAGAAAAGTTAGCCATAGTGCCTCCTGTTACTGAAGTTTATGGGCAAGTGTGCAATCAGTTGTCCACTGTAGTTCAATATTCATGATACATCACCTTTTCTTTATGCACATGCAATTACCTTTATTGTCGACTACTAATTATGGATTTAATTTTGATTGTTCTCTTGCAGGAGGGATGTTCTCGTGGCTCTTTCATTTGGATTGTTGTTTTGCTTGCTCATGATATCTTCCTATCTGACGCTGTACTATAGGTATTTCAAGGTTTCTGCTGTCGTCATATTTCTTGGAGTTCTTCTCCCTGTATGCCTGAAGGTTTCTAGGAAGAAAAAGCTAGCAAAGAAAAGGGAGAGAAGAATGTTGTTACCTTTGTCTATGTGAATATTATCGGGAGAGAATTATATTTCTGAATTATCAGGGGGGGAATTATACTATCTCGAGCCTACTGTGATCTTCGGTTAAAAATTAACATTGCTTATTCATTGCATATACAGAGTTTTTGTTTGAAAGTTGCATGGTATGGCTCATCTTTCTGTTTCAATCTTATATAATTTTGCGCTCAATGAAATGATCTATCAATGCTCATGTTGGATATCTAAATATACCAGGCTACTGCAATTGGAAATGGAACTCTCCCAAGGTACTTGGATCCATTTTCTGTGTTTCCTTTCTCCGAATCCCTCGAGTCCTGAGATTGGAAATTTATTTGATTTTCAGATTAGAGGTCTTCTTATTTTGAAAGTTCCAGTACTATACACACATTAATCATAACAATTAAATGGAGTGCAGAATGAGTGACTTCCTGAGCTTATCAATAAAATTTTAAGTAATGCCTGAATTTATGTGGACAGTAGGTTTCTGGATTTTCTTGTCCATATTGCTGATATTTGAAACTAACTGCTACGTTTTAGAACGCCAGTTTATTATGGTTATGCTATCTCAAACTGCTGTTTTTGGGCAATAACAACCTTTTTGTATTTTGCTTAGGAATGATTGGCGGCATACCTAGTTTGTTAATCTCAAGTTCCTGTTGATTTTCTTAATTTTTTAATTTTTTCAGGTGCGACGAGCCTTAGAGTGCAATTCAGGCCCAGATAAATAGTAAAAATATTGCAATGCCTACCGATTAGAAATTAGAGATGAACATGTCATAAACACGATGATGAACCTTTGCGACCCCTGTCCTTTTGAATAAGAATGTCATATTGGACAATCACATAAAGTTGGATGTAACTATGCCATGTTTCACTAACTTACCGGCAACTGGGTTGATGAATTTGACTTGAAGGTGAAGACTGTTTATGTCATGCTTTTCAGTGAGTGGATTAACATCAGAAAGCTAGTATTTTAGCCTGTAATTCTCCACTTAGCTTATTATTTAGGCCTCAATGACTTTGCAAGTATTGTAGGGCCCCCTCCCATTCTAGTGCTATTGTATATGCTTTCAAGGGAAAGTTAAAAGCTAAACAAAAGATTTGGAATATGTAAGCCTACGTTCATTTCCAAGTGAAGGTAGTAAAGGGTCTCTCGTCTAGATCAATATATAATTCCTTTGGAGCACATCATATTTATATTTTGACTAAACACCACTTAAATACCTTATAGCTTACAACCTTGCACCTATACGCCCCAAGTATTTTATTGACATCTAAAGACCCTAATGTTCTTAAGAGTGGCACGTTACTACATTTTGTTAGTAAAATATTGAAGAGCCACCATTAAATGTTGGAATATTCTCTTAAAAAAATTTCACGCGACTTGCACATGATAAACGAGGTTAATTATACATTTACGGTTGGCGGTTTCAAATAAAAACTTATCTTCACCCTTTGGAGCTGTTTGTTTGCATAAGGGGGAAGGGGAAAGCCTGTCAAAAGTATCAGTTTTGACAGACTTTCTTATAAAAACGCTTCTAAAAAGAGGCGTTTTTGTAAGAAAGTCTGTCAAAACTGACACTTTTGACAGGCTTTCAACCCATTTCCCCCTCTAAAAGAGGCAACCAAACTCGCCCTTATTTACGCTCACTTAAAGTTTGCCCCCATTTTTGTAATAATATTACATCATTTAACTAATAGAAAGTTAAAAACAAATCATAAAAACGATAAGATCTTTAAATATCAACAAAAGCTTAGGATATACACGTGCAAAGAAATGTAAACTATAAGGTGTTTTAGAGGTATCTAGTCTTCTACTTTCGATCTTCTCTCTTGTATAATTCTTCATCTTTAATAAAATGGATTAAGATCTCTTACACAAATACGTAACATCTTTCTAAAAAAAACAAAAGTAGAAAAACAAAAAAGGGTGCTCTCTCTCTCCAGAAAAGGACACTTTGAGTTGCCAACCTTTCTCCTTTGCCAGCACGAAAGCCTCTCAAAGTGACTCACATCCACTGCCACTTCTTTTAACTTCATGCGTGAGGCGGCGTAAGAGACGTTGCCACCACTACAAACCCATCCAAATTCAGTTGAACCTAAATGTCACGGGCTCCTCACGCCAAATAACGAAAGTCCCAGGTGCAATTTGCAAATTTACACTTTACGCTACATATAAATAGACCACACCAATGTGTTCCTCTTCTCATCATCACCTAATGGCTTCCAACAAATCAAGCATGTCTTCTAGAACTTGTCTTTGTGCGCCAACAACACACCCGGGCTCGTTCAGGTGCAGCCTTCATCGTAGCCGGAGACCGCCGCTGGTCCGGTCGGCGGTTTATTCGGGTTCTACGAATCGGGTTGAGTCTAGAGGAGGTGGCGGATCCGATAAGGGAAGGTCTATGAGGGCCATTTTGACGCAAATGATTAAGCCATCGAGTCATGATTTGTGTCGGAGGAGGAATTTTGAGCCTAAGCCTTCAAGGTTTTGTTTGATTAATGGAAGTGGGCAAAGCGTGTCTGTGGTTTAAAAATGTACATAATTTTGTAGATATGATCGCATGGTGAGAGTTGATGTTAACTGTTGTTGCTCAGCTCTATTTGGAATGTGAAAGAACTATTATTTTTTAAAATTACACTAAACCGCCGTCAAGGACTTTAGTGTTTTCCACTAAACCCCAATAACTTCTAAAATTGCATTTATTGGAATTGTAGAAAGCCCCAGTAAACATTCACATTTTGCAGTTACTTCCATGACAGCATCAGTTCACATTTAGTGTCTAGATGTGTCATCAACACAAAACGTGGACTGATGCCATTATAAGGGTTTTCTGCGAAACCAGGAAAGTTATTAAGAGTTTTATGTAATCCCAATAGTTATTGGGAGTTTAGTGCTATTTTAGAGGTTGTTGGGGGGTTTACTCTAAATACTAAAAGCTTGGGAGGGTTTACTGTTATTGCAAATCCTAGTATTGAAGAGAGTGGAGAAAGGGACACCTTATCATTTTGTATTTTTCTGCATAAGGCCAAATGAAAGTTTGCGGATATTGGAAATGGATAAGCTCATGACAGAAGCAAAGACTCAAGTAGCAAAGAACTTGACTTGTTCTTTCGAGTCCGATCTTATCTTCTAAGGCCCCGTTTGGTACGCGGGAATGGGGTGGAATGGAATGTCATTCTCACTTCTCATTCCCTCATACCAAACAAAACTAGTTTTTAGATATTAGAATGACCATTCCCATGGAATGATCATTCCTACTTTTTGTGAGAATGGGCATTCCAAGTGAGAAGATAGGGAATGACCATTCCCATTCAAGGGAAGAATCAAATTAGTTAGGTTTTTTTTCAATTATACCCCTATTAATAATAAGAATTAATTTAAAAATCATGGCTTTTGACTACGTATTCTCATTCTCTCTGTTTTTTTAGGCTCCACCGAAACAAAAAGGCCTCATTTCTATTCATCACCCTTGAAATCGACGTATTCTCATTCTTTATATTTTTTTGGACCTATGAAAGATGCAATAATCTTTTATTTATTTTTATTTAATTTTTTAAGACTAAGAAATAGTGAGAATTGTTTAAAAAATATAAACGAAACATACACCTGATCGATAACATGCGCATTAGTATAACACATACCTAGATTAATATAACATATGCATAAATAATTTTTTTAAGTTATTATCATTAATGTTTATTGTTATCTTATTAAAAATCTATGTTGTTGTAAGGGCATTATTAGAAAATAAGATTCCATTCTCACTTGTGAACTAGTGATACCAAACATGGGAATGAGAATTAGATTTTCATTCTAGCTTCATTCTACAAACGCACCCAAACAAGAGAATGAGAATGATCATTCCATTCTCACATACATTCCATTCCATTTCTTATTTCATTCCATTCTCACTTGACTTCATTCCCACGTACCAAACGAGGCGTAAGATCCATTTGCAGATTAACTGTAGTTTTTATATTTGAATCTAGGAGCCACGTGAGAATCCAAATTTGATTGTTTAAAAAAAAATAAAAGTATAATCAGAGGAAGAAGATCATCAACATCACACACTTTTTTTTTTCCAGGATATTTTCGAAAATTACTTGCCTTAAGATAATCTCGTTGATACATTGATGGAACTTTTTTCAGTTGCCCATTTTCAAGTTTTCATTATGGTCGTACTTAATATTAGGACTTTTGTTAAATGCGAAGAGGTACGGCTTGTTGGGGATTTGAAACACACAATCGAACCCGTGCCCTTCCGGATCTTGTGCTAAGAGTTTAACAATTAGGATAATCACCAAAAATAAAAAAAAATTGCAGGAAAGATAAACAAGAAGGAACACATACACCAGATTTAACGAGGTTCCACTACAAGAAATCCGGTATTTAGCGACCAAAATTAGTGAAGGGACTAGTTGACCGTCATTAATGTGTGTAAAATAACGACGGTTTTAAAACCCTTCATCAAGTTATCACAATTATTAGAGAAATGATGTGAGATGGGATAACGGTTTTCTAGTCCCTTCGTTGATTTGATCCTAATACCGTCGTTATTGGGTCTCCTTAAAGACGAAGGGGTCCATTACCTTCAGTGATAATAATGCTAATCTTAATAGGACTTAAAATTTAACCTATTACTGTTAATAAAAGAAAACCAAACTCCAATTCGCTACAACTACCCCCCACGTTTTAATCTTTATCCTTCTCTCACATTAATGTATAAGGCCAACGTGCGGAGCACCAGAAACGGACAACCATTCGTTCTCATCTACGCAAACCCACTATAACAAATTACACTTTTCCCAACGCTTATTCCCGACGCATGGTTAAATACGTCATCATAAAGTATGTTTTTCCCGACGATTTTAGTTAGCGTCGGCAAAACATATATTTTTCCCAACGTTTATAATTAGCGTCGCTAAAAGTGTATATTATTAGTGATGTTTTTGCTTAGCGTCGGTAAAAGTGTATGGATTTCCTGACGTTCTTTTCATTTTCGTCGGCAAAAATATATATTTTTAGCGACGTTTTAAGGCTGGCATCGCTAATAGTGTGCATATATCGCGACGTGTAGGTAAGCGTCGCTAAAAATCTATTTTCCTTACGGCCCTGGTTTGCGTCCCTAAAA